AAAAAAAAAAAAAAAAAAAAACGCTCGCCACTTTTCTTTGGTAATGACACCGGTGCACTCTTTCGATCATAACTTCTGCACCGGTAGTCCAAATTTATTGATCTTTAGCTTGTCGGAAAGATCTCGACGAGCCGCTTCCAACAAGCTATATATCGTCTAATTCTGTGTGGTGGTTGAGGAGCTATGATCTTTCAAAGATCGCAATTTTTTTAAAAGTTCCAAAATAACCACTCGCGCTCGTTTTTTCAACGAGCGCTATTACTCTAGGCGGTGGCTGAGCTGATGCTGAGCCTTATCTCGTTGGAAGCGGATTTCAAAAAGCTTTCCAACAAGACCTCTTTTGCCAAATTTCACCCAGCGGGTGAAAAGTTATTGGCAAAAGAGTTTTTGCCCTCTACATCTCCTCTCTTGACCCGTGGCCATCTTCAAAAGTGCCACGTGGCAATTTGCTGAGGATTTTTTTTGAAGACCCCCTTGGCTAGGGGGCTGCACTACAGTGGAACTGGGTGGCTGATCAAGATCTCAGCCAACCCCAGATAATGTGCAGCAGCAGTTTATCACCACCTTGAAGACCCCTTCTCTCAAGGGATGTGTGAAGGCCAAGATCTTGTGGATCTTGGTGAAGTTGTATGTTCTTGGTTACCCAAGAGCTAGGTATCACCTCTCTCATCCCTAATCCACTCTCCCACTCCCTTTTCCCTCTCTCTTCTTCATCATCTGACCCTCTTTTTCTCTCACCACTACTCATCCATCACCTTTTCTCACTCCTCTCTCCACTTTTCTCATTTCTCTCCTCTTCTCCCCACTAATCTTTCATCCCCTTCACTCTTTTCTCCATCCACTACCATATTTTTACTCTCTCCTCTCCCAACTTCACTCTCCTTGCTTCTTTTCCTTACTTCTCTCCTCTCCTTCTCCTTAATCTCTCATACCTTTCCCTCTTCACTCATCTTCCACCATCTTTTTCTCTCCTCTCTCTCCACTCACCTTCTTTTACTAATCTCACCTTTTTTATAGTTTTTTTCTCTCATTCTCTCACCCTCCTCTCCTCCTTTCCTCCCCCAGCTACAACCCCATCATCTCCCTCACCTACCACTTCAATCTTTTCTCTTTCCCACCTATTTTTCTCTTTTTTTCATCACTTTTTCATCCCCCCCCCCCCCACTTCGATTTTTCTTGTTTTTTTTCTTTTTTCTTTCTTTTTTATTTAAATTTTCTCCGTTCCTCCAACAATTCGAATTATCTTCTTTCCTACTTCTTTTCTCATCTTTCTGATTTATTTTATTTTCCTTTATTTATTTTGAAAATTTGAATTTTTTTGCGGCACCCTAAAATCTGATTAGGACTTAGCCATTCTTGCTTTCGGCACACATTTTGACCCCGTGGGGGTAACGAAGTGCTGCCAAAATTTGTGAAAAATCCAAAACTTCGTTAGTTTCTCTTTACTCTCCTCCACCTCCTTATTTATTTATCTATTTATTTACTTATTTTTTTGAAAATTTTAATTTGCGGCATTGTAAAAATTAGTGTGCTTCTCTTAGTCTCTCCTTTCTCTTTGCATATTTTGATCCCGTTGGGGTAAGAAAATGCTGCCGAAATTTTCAAAAAAATAAATAAGTCCTCTTCCCTCGCTCTTTATATTTTATTTTTTTATTTATTTTTATTTCTTCTTTTATTTTATGTTTATCTCTAAATTTTATTGTTTATTCTATTTTCTTTCCCCCTCCCTTCCATATTATTTTTTTTCTTGATTAGGTCGCCGCTACCCTCCCCTAACCACCTAAACTCCGGTTAGGGTTTTCTTAGGGTTTTTTAGGGTTTAGGGTTCTCCTAACTCCCGCCCCCCTTCCTACTCTCCCGCCTCCTCCCATCGGGCACCCTGGACCTGGATGGTTCCTCCCCCCTCGAGCGGCTCGGCGCCTTCGTCTCACGCGCGACCCGCAAAATCCGAGGCGAGCCGACTCACACATACTCGCTCCGCTCCCGCGGTCCCCTTTCCCCACACACTCCTCTGAGGACTACCTCCATTCCCCTTCCGGCCATGGAAGGGAGTTTATCCAAGGAGATCGCCGCGGCGCAGTCCACACCCCAGGTCAGCGCGTCGTCAGCGGCTCATGATCAGGCTCATGCGGACACCATGGACCTTCATGCCGTCCTTATAGCAATCCAGGCACAACTTAGTACGCTTGGACCATTGCAAGCGCAAATCAATGCGCTAGCCCTCGACGTCAACCGCCTCAAGGGCTCCCCTCATCGCTCTCCCCACCGCTCTCACACCCCTTCCCCTACCGTCTCCGATTCCGGCTCCCCAGGACTCCGGAGACAGAGTCACCATGGTTCCCCCTCCTCTGCGGGCCAGGCCCAACACTCCCCCTCAGCGGTGGCGAGTGTTGCTGCCGCTCAGACCACCCCGTCTGTTGCAGCAATTCTTCCGGCCACGGCCGCCCCTACCGTCTCTACTACTGCCGTAGGTGTTGCGGTCCAGGTACCGCCTTTTGGCCCAGCAGTTTCATCGACCCACACCGGTGTTGCTTCCCAGCTTCCTGCACCGGTCGCGGCAATACGGCTCCGCCCTCTTCTTCCTGCCTTCGTCGCCCCGCCCCCACAGCAGGGTACCACCCAGGCTGGGATTCCTCCTCCCACTGGGAGACCCGCTCCGCCCCCTCCACCTCCGACCCCGCGCACCCAGCGAGTGACCACTTTACAGGTCACCATTGCGCAGGCTCAGGCGGAGATTCTCGCTCTGAGACAACCTCACCCATTACAGGTTGCCCACCCTTCTTCCTCTACCACCCCTTCGGTCCCCATGATGCAGGCTCGTTTCCCTCGACCTACTCCTCAGCCTCTTCCCTCCTACCTGGCTATTCCGGGACAGCTGCCCGCGACCGTTGCCTCCTCGTCTGCTGGTCCATCCGCCAGCGGCCACGGCCCACAACCTTCCCCCACCTTTGCCCCTGCAGCAGCATCGACTTATGTTGCTGCAGTGCACTCGCCTCGATCTCTCTCCCCCCGCCATCAGCAAAGTAGACATCCTCCTGTGCGCCCGGCCCCACCCGACCAGCCCTACCCAGCTAGCCACGGTGCAGTGTACCCCTAAGGCCTCGCACGTAGCCGGCTTCCCGACCACCGAGTCGCGGTTTGCCTCTTTGGCTACCCCACCAGAGGACCCTCAGGATACGACAGACGCAGTTCTCTCTGCCCCGTCGTCTGTCGAGGTACTGTCTGCCTCCCCGCAGACCGCCATATCTAGCACTTTTCCCCCGAGACTTCCGACGCGTCGCGCCATTCGCACAGCCCGTTGTAGCACTCAGCTGGCGACTCGCGATGACGTTGTGTCATCTCTCCTGGACTTGAGCATTCTGCAGGCTCGTCAGGAGCGACTCACGAGGCACGTCAACGTCCTGCGTCGTCTTCTCGCTCTGCTCTCTGATCCTGATCGCACCCTACCCATTATCCCTATCCGCCTAGGGACATCTACAAGGGTGTATCGCGCTTTATGGGACTCCGGCTCGCAGGGAGATTTCGTTCACCCTCTAGTGGTTGAGGAAGCTCGCCTAGCTACCTCTGGGTCTCGCTCTCCTATCTCCGTTACCCTCGGAGATAACAAGATGCAGCGCTTCTTCGATCAGACGGTTCCCGACCTCCACTTCTCCCGCACCCTCCAGCCATCGGATAGTACCCAGACGCCTAGGCACTACCATTCCTCCGCATACTTCGACGTGCTGGAGACTGGGTACAACTTTATCCTTGGTACTCCCTGGTCTCGCCGGTTCCGCAGCACAGAGGCCGAATGGGCGACCGAGACACTCGTTCTCAAAACGAAGTGCGACCAGACCCTTCGAGTCCCCTTCATTGGAACCACGGGTGACACCCCCCCAGACCTACCTCCCAGGACCCTCGTCCCTCTGGGTCCCACCCAGACATCGCCTTCACTTCCCCTCGTCAGTTTGCTCACTTCATCCGACAGGAGGACGTCACATTCTACTCAGTGAACGTCATGGATCTTCTTCGCTATGATCCACTCTGTCCCGAGGTTGAACTCATCTCACTGGAGTCCGATCCCCCTGACCCTTCCTCCAGCTTCGCGGCTCCCATCTCCAAATTCACCCGTCAGCCTGCGGATACCCCCTCCACATCCCAGGCCCCTGCGCCATCGACCGTCGAGTCCACATATACGTCTCGTGCCGACACAGACGCTGAGGAACTTACACGGTTCACGGCAGACTTAGAGTCCGCCGTTCGCGACCTGATTCGAGAATACCGCGACGTCTTTCACCCGTACTTCTCATACAGCGAGATTCCCCCGATGCGCGGTGTTGAGCATTCTATACAGCTCGTGCCTGACTATCGTGTTCACCATCAGGCACCGTACCGACTTTCGATTCCAGAGGCGACGGAACTCAAGCGTCAGCTTAAGGAGCTCCTTCGACTGGGTTTCATTAAACCCAGTAACTCCCCTTGGGGTGCACCTGTCCTGTTTGCTCGCAAAGGAGACGGAACTCTTCGCCTCTGCATCGACTACCGTGGCCTTAACCGTTACACGGTTAAGAACAACTATCCCATGCCTCGCGCGGATGAGTTGTTTGACCGTCTGGCAGGCAACCGCTTCTTCACGAAGATCGATCTTCGTAGCGGTTACCACCAGATCCGCGTTGCCACAGAGGATCAATCGAAGACCGCCTTTCGGTCGCGCTTCGGCCACTACGAGTTCACAGTGATGCCATTCGGCCTCACCAATGTCCCCGCCACCTTCCAGACGGCGATGAACGACATTTTGAGGGACATCCTTGAAGAATACGTTCTCGTATATCTGGATGACATTTTGGTCTACAGCCGTACCTTAGAAGACCATCTCAGACACCTCCGCGATGCCCTACAACGCTTACGTAAGCATGGCTTCTATGCCAAGCTCAGTAAGTGCCGCTTTGCCCAGCGCAAAGTGGACTTCCTAGGATACCATGTGTCTGACCAGGGTCTCCACATGGACGATGCGAAGATCACTGTTATTGCAGAGTGGCCCATCCCCGCATCTGCCAAGCAGCTTCGCAGTTTCCTAGGCCTCACCGGCTACTATAGTAATTTTATCCAGGGATACGCTAGGTATTCCTACGTCCTTACCTCTACCCTCCTCCGGAAGAACCCGCCGTGGTTTTGGACACCCCTGTGCGAGGACGCCTTTCGCACCCTCAAGTAGGCGGTGACCTGTGCGCCGGTTCTTCGCCTTCCCAATTTTGATCGCCCCTTTATCGTCACCACCGATGCGTCAGATTTTGCAGTAGGAGCTGTCCTTTCTCAGGTGTTTCCCTCTCCTCCAGATTCACCTTACCCCCATGTTCCTCCTTCCCCCCCCCCTTCTGCTGACACTGCTTCTCGACTGACGCCTACCCTCCCACCACTTCCCTCCACTTACAGTCCTCCTGTTACTTACTCCCTGACCATCGCGGAGGATGGGACCGTCGAGGCTCGTGCTGGGGATTGCCCGATCGCTTTCTACTCCTGTCTGCCTGCCGAGATAAACTACACTGCCGATGAACGTGAGGTTATCGCAGTAGTTTATGCTACCCGACATTGGCGTCATTATCTGCACGGGGCGCCCTTCACGGTGCGCACGGACAACTTAGTTGTCCAGGCTTTCCTCACGAAGCCGAAGCTTTCCCCTCGACAGGCACGCTGGTGGCGTGACTTATCCGAGTTCAGTTTCACCACTCAGCCCATCAAGGGTGAAACGAACCGCGTCGCCGATGCCTTGTCCCGCCATCCTAATCACAATCAGGAACCCATCCATCTTGCTGCCATCTCCATCACCACTATTGATCAGTCCGTGATCGACACGTATCGCACTCAGTACCGCCACTGCCCCGATTATCGCATCATCCACGCGACACTGCGGAGTGGCAAGACCATTCCTTCCTACTCCCTCGGGGAGAACGACCTCGTGTACTGGCATGGCAGATCTGGTCAGCTAGAACCACGTATCTGCGTTCCCTCCACCGGACAGCTCCGCGTCCAGGCTGTAGCAGAGTTCCATGACCAGGCAGCTGTGGGTCATATGGGTTTCCACAAGACGTTGACTCGTGTTTGCCGCCTATACGTCTGGCCGAAGTCCAAGGACTTTGTCAAAGCCTACATCTAGGAGTGTCCTACCTGCCAGGAGGTGAACAGTGCGAACCACCTTCCGTATGGGTTACTTCAGCCCCTACCCATACCTGAAGGTCGTTGGCAGTCCATCTCGATGGATTTCATTGGTCCCCTCCGCCCACCCACTGGGCGCGGTCATGATGCTATCTTGGTCGTCGTCGATCGCTTCACGAAGCGTGCACGTTTTGTCCCGTGCCGCTATCGCAGTAGCGCTCGTGAGGTCGCCGACATCGTCTTCGACCGAGTCGTGAGAGATCACGGCTTATCTCAGAGCATCATCTCCGGCCGTGACTCGCGCTTTACCAGCACATTCTGGCGACACCTATACGAGGTGTGCGGATCCCAGCTCCGCTTCTCATCGTCTTACCACCCTCAGACAGATGGTCAGAATGAGGTCACCAATAAAACTCTCGGTAATATCCTCCGAAAGTTTGTTAGGGATGACCAGCAGTGGGACTTACACCTAGCCCACGCGGAGATTGCGTATAACCACGCTGTTTCGCCAGCCACGGGAAGGTCGCCAGTCTATTGCGACCTCGGCTACCACCCTCACGTACCCGCGGATATCCTACGACCATCGCGGTTGCGCCCAGACACTCGTTGCCCTGTGCTTGACGACTGGATCGCCCACATAGCGGCGATTATGAAGCGCGCACACGAGAGTTTAGCCGACTCCCAGACTCGCATGGCCGCACGAGCCAACCGATCACGAATGGATCATCCATTCAAAGTCGGTGACGATGTGCTCGTCGACGCACGCCACTTACAACTCGAAGCAGATACGCTTCGCAAGTTTAGGCGTCGTTTCTTCGGTCCATGCCGCATCCTTCAGGCCGTCGGTTCTGATACTGCCGCTAATCCGGTCAACTTCCGTGTGAAGCTACCTGATTACCTTCGACAGGCTCGCGTACACGATGTTTACCACGTCTCCTTGCTGCGTCCTTATCGCAGACCGTCCGAGCGCTTCGCCGGACGCCCTTATGAGTGCCCTCCACCTATCATGGTGGACGGTCACGAGGAGTTCGTTGTTTCCGACATCGTATCACGCCGAGTTACCGATGATACCCCTCCACGCATCGAGTACCTTGTGCGTTGGAAGGGCTACCCTAATGAGGAGGCTACTTGGGAGCCCCTCGAGCACTTGCAGCACGCCAGGATGTTGGTGCGGGCATATGATCGTGCTCGTCGTGCTAAGACATCTGCTTCTACTCAGCCGACTGACCCTCTTCCTCCTTCTCCGGCTGAGGAGATTGCTGAGGACGAGCCCGCTCCCTCTAAGGTCGTTCCTCAGCCGCAGACGGTCGTCTCCGAGCGTCCACAGCGCACTCATCGTCGCCCTTCGCGTTACGATGACTGACACTCTTATCCTCTATCTTTCCCACTGACTCACACCATCAGGTACTCCATCATCAACTCTTCTTCAGGATGTCAGCGTTTTGCGGCTCTGCTTCAACATCGACTCGATTGCTACTTCATCGACGTCATCGACCACTTCGACGACTTCAACTACCTTATCGGCTTCAGCTACTTTGGACGTGACTACTTCACGCCACCCCTTACCCTGTACATTCCCTTGCATTTGTCGCATGATGGTTCTCACTTAGCTGGGTCTCTTTGAGTTGGGCTCTCCCTTGGTATCGCATAGGCATTGGGACCGTAGCGTTATCTTGGTTTCCTTGCTTCCAGATCTAGCTCCCTCCTCCCCTAGTCGGTGAGTTGTGTGTATATTTCCCTCACCCACTGCCCTCATCACCCTAGTGCCGGCCCTTGCATGCCTTCAGTTAGGCATATCTCCACCCTATTCAAGGCTCCCTCCTTTTCATGGTCGACCCTGCATGGTGTCACCCTTTTGTCGAGCATTACCCGCCTTGATGGTCTATCTGTTAGGGTCATTGGTTTTGTTTCGCTACCACTCTCCCACCTTGAGCCTGATGACCTATCCCACCTTCATTTGTGACTGCCCTTAGGAGTTTCGATTCTTAGGCTGCATTCACCCCCTCTGAGACCATCCCACTCTTAGTGGTTCAGCGACATGACATTATCTTCTGACATATTGCTCTTTTCCTTTCAGCACGGAGGCCACTGCCTCCAGGACTTTAGGATTGTATCATACTACATTTCATTTTCTGCTGTTAGCTAGGATATGTATACCAGACATTTGTTTTTCTTTTGACATTATGTAGCTTAGGATGCATCGCATGAACTCCACATGGAGCTTGCTCCGCATCCTAGATTTCTCAGCTTTCTTTGTTGCAGAGTTCTGCTGCTTTTGCGGATAGCGTGTTTATGGCTCTTGCGATCCATTACAGGTCTGAGGATCGTGCAGCGGGCCTTCATCTGCCCTGACCCACAGCCAGGGCCTATTTGGTTATTTGCCAGTTCGGCCTGTGGGACCAGGCCGTGGCCTGACCCCACAGGCCGTGTGGTTATTCAGTCTAGTCCAGTCCTGCCCGGTACCACTGTCGGTACCAGGCCAGTCCAGTCGAGTCCAGTCAATCCGCTGGGGGTATACCCCAGCTGCAGTTTGTTTTGTGACTCATTTTTCATTTGCACAGATTGGAGTACGTGCGTGTTGAGTCTGCGTTGGAGCTGCGCTGTCCCTTCCAGCTCCATCTTCATCTCCCCCATCCTCATCCCTTCGTCTTGATCCTGACGGACCGCCATCCCGGCGGGTCCGTCACATATCATGAATGAGAGGATTACAGTTACGATCACGCCCTCGAAGACTACAATTACAGTTACAAGTAAGATTAAGGCGCGGAAAAGTCAGAGCATAGATCCTGACGCGGCAAAGCGTACGCAAGCAAGAAGCGTTGTGCAACAAAATTGCGATGTACCTAAATTTCTAGCCTAAATCCTAGTTACAAAAAAAAATTTCGAGAGAAGAAAATTTCGAGAGCCCGCGGGGGCTCGATATCAGTTGAAAATTCAAAAGAAAACTCCCGCTCGACGATCACACCAAAATTCTAATTTCCCACAACAGAACAAGAAAGAAGCTATGACAACAGTTATCTTTCGTGCTTGCTAAGGCGCGATCAACTACATGCCAACCTCAATTCAAAAAAAAAAACAAGAAAAGCAAAGGCACCCACGCAATCCAACGGGCCATCCCGATTCAACCCCCGAAGTAGCCTTGCGCAAAAAGTCGCACGGTTGCAGGAAATAGTTCGTCACAATGAGACCTGAAAGTCGCAGAAGGGTTTCCTCTGCCAATCATGTTCTAACTGCCATTTCGTCAAAATGGACATCTTTTATTTTTTGAACGAAATTGAAACTGAGTTTTTTTGCTGAAAACTCGTCAAAATTTGTTGTTCCTGAGTGTCCAGCGTTTTACAAACGCTGGACCCCCTGGTTGTACATGGACCTAGCTTGAGACCAGGTACTTCCAGGCAGTCCTGCCTGGAGGTGCTTGGTCTCAAGCTAGGTCCATGTACAGCCAGGGGGTCCAGTGGACCCTCGAGAACAACAAATTTTGACGAGTTTTCGACCAAAAAACTCAATTTCAATTTCGTTCAAAAAATAAAAAATGTTCATTTTGACGAAATGGTCGTTTTCCGTTCTCCTCCATGGTTTCCATGTGATATCCAGGGCGGTGTCAAGTTCTGAAAACAGTTTGTTAGGGTCATGCCAAATCTGCCTAGAGGAGTTTCAACTGACCTCCTTGATGAAAGGGTCTTTCTTCTGAAAGAGTTCGTGCCTCATGCATTTCCAAGCTTCCTGGGTCTTAGTCCTGATTTGCTCTTCGACCGCTTTTTGCGCCTGCAGCAGGCCAAATTGGCGGTCCTTTCTTTCAAATGAACACCTGACTCTCCAAGCCAACATAAGGATATGCAGCCTTGTGCATGAAAAAAGGTTGGTCGCGAACGAGGACCAATGTGCCAATAAGTGGCTGTTCTCTCGCAGCAGAAGAAGGCCTACGTCTAAGAGAGGACTGCTTTGCTATCAGTGCGAGCAGGCTTAGTTTCGTCGTTATTTTTGGACCTCTGATGCATGAACTTGGCCGACTGTTTAGGATAGGCGAATTTCCGGAGAGCTGGTGCTTTGAACTCTATCATTTTCTCATCCACTTACCTTTGCGATCTACTCTAGAGCTACCAACTCTGCCATTTATAAATAGTGGACTAGTTATCTGAATTGACTAAGCCCCTTGATGAGTGCTGGGTGCTGGGACACGGCGTCCACCTGAAACCGGTCGGGTCACTCGCTGTTCTTATGCTCCGATGTACTCCATTCCTTATTCTTTCTGAACAGTCACATTCGGGATAACTTTATCTTAGTGTCATCTTTTTTTTCTCTCTCTTTTCTTCCCCCTTGCTCTTCTTCATCTCTAATTTGTCTGTGTTCATGATGTCGCCTGCTCCTTTTGCAAGTCAAACCACCAGTACTTGACCCAGATATCGGTCGTGGCGCTTCCCCGTTAACGCGCCATGCCTTTAGGGCTTCGGGGTACCGGACTACAATGGCTGGAAGCGCCAGCCAAAAAAAAATTGAAACGGTACCCCGACGCTTCGGCAAAACTTGGCGCGCAGGGGCATTCCAGGCTCGGCATCGATAGCTGGGCCAAGTACTGGTGGTTTAATGTTTGGAGTAAGTCAACAAAAGTGCTTGTCAATTTGACAAACACTACTCGCCACACGGAAGATCCATTCTCATTTTTGCCTTTCTGCTAGAACATGGGAAGAGACACTGCCATATTTTTCACAAATTTTACTTCATGTGTGTGGTGAGTAGTGGACCGGGGCACTCATTGTTGCTCAGGCACCTGTGTCAGTCTTAGGGCCTCGCTCCACTAATAAATTGAGTCACGAGTTAAACTGATAGATAGACCATGATAAAACGTTCTATTCAGCTGTAACAAATGCTCTCCGAACCGTAACCCCACGAAAGGTTCAGGGCATTCTCACACGAGTACCAAAAGACCCTAAATCCCAAAATTTGAGTCAGTTTTCGGGTCACACTGGAGAGACCTGCTACCCAAATGCCTGAAACGGCGACCCTTTTGTCAGCGGCCTGTGGGGCCGCGGGAGAGGTGGTCTCAAATTAGTTTTCGTTTTGTTTATTTTTTTCTCTGTTCGCGAATTGAAGAAATTCGTAAACGAAGAGGACAGCCCGCCAGACAACTGGAAGTGTGACCAGAAACATTTCCGTTGTAGCGAAGGCCCATGCGTTATACCGGCGTGAAAAAAAAAATAAAAAAATTCCATCTTTTTGTTTGGTCCTCGCCCGTGTGACCGGGGCACTTGCCCTGAGTGCAAAGTGTCAGGGTCATGATTTCATCCTTTCTGGACGGAGTCCACCCGTGTGACCACAGGGGGACCAAATGATCCGGTTGGAGACTGAGGCTGGGGGAGTTGTCGAGGGAGGAAGGCACTCCAGTCGGTTATAACAACGAGAGTCGGGGCTGGGGCAGGTTGTGCTGCCCTGTACCCCTAGCTGAAGAGGGGGTTTGAGACTCGGGGAGTTAAGAGGACAGAAAGGTGTGAGCCAGGTTTGGGATGGCTTGTTATAAAGGGGGGTAGGAAGGATGGTTGCCAGTTTTGTCTTCTGGGATTTGTGTTTGTTTCTTGCATTGACTGAACTCAAAGCTTGTTTCCTATCCTTGTATGTTCATTTACTAAAAAAAGAGGCGGTTGTTCGTAAGAATGTTTTAGGACTCTAGGGTCTCCTAGCAAGCCACCTTAGGCGATTTCAATGCTGTTATACTCAGTGATCTGCGGCTGTTCGATGCCAGAACGACGCTGGCGGGTGCTGGGGTGTTGCCCTGTAACCTGCTGACGCAGGAGTGTGAGGCCTGGTAGAGAGATCTGGGGATGATTTGGGGTGGGCATTCCAAGGGGCAACCAAGGGTTACTGCTGGGATGACCATGGTCGGAGCTGGAGCGAGTCGTGTTGCCCTGTAACCCAGCAGGGTGGGGGTGTGAGGCCTGGAAAAGCTCGGCAGGGAATACGACAGTGTTGGAATGTTTTAGAAGTTTTATTTAGGGATTCTGAGGGTTGTGAGCATTTGAAGGGCAGCTTAGTGCATTAATAGTTCTTTTTTTTTTTTTTTTT